GTGGAGTCTCCTTCGCTGGAGATATTCAAAACCCGTCTGGATGTGATCCTGGGCAATATGCTCTAGAGGACCCTGCTTGAGCAGGGAGGTTGGACTAGATGATCTCCAGAGGTCCCATCCAACCTAAACGATTCTGTGATTCTGTATACATTCATTTTTTTGCAGTTATGCAGACAGTGAAGTATTGCACCAATCTTGCATGTAAGCGCCAAGGAAATATTGGTGATTTGTATAGGATTGCACAGAAATTTGCAGAGGAGCTGAAAATCGAGCTGTATCACAAAGCAGCCCGTAATCACAAAGCAACTCAACAATGAGTTGTGGTAAAAAGTGAGAAAATTTTTCATTTTCTTATTGTGAAAATTGCACATAGCCTAGGCAAGAATCTTTTATTTTCTGGTATTCCTTTAAATTGTTTGCTCACAGCTTTGTTTTAACTACCAAAATATATTACAGGACCAGAATCAGCATGTCTCTGATATTTTGATAACTGACTAATACACTTGAAATTCAGATAATAAAAGATAATCTGCTATTGACCTGACTGGCGTGATTAGTAGTCAGTGAGCCTGTTTGTGTGCTGATGAAATAGATACTAAATCTGTATAAAATTGATAAAATTTGATTAGTTTCCTTTAGGGGTTAGTATTACTCATATCTTACTTATTTATAAGCATTGCAAAATGTTCTGCCTATCAGATTTGGATGCTTAAAATTGTCTTTAAGGTGGCACTGATGTTCTTGTGTATATGTTTCTTCTAAAGCAAAAGAAATACTTACCACTTTTGCTAATGGTATAGCTTGGTATGCTATTGAGGTGGCAGCAAGGAAACAGTGTAGAGGAAAACTCAGTACAGCACTAGACCTTCAGCATTAGAAAGCTTTGGTATCCTTTTGGCTAAAGATGCAAGTGAAAATAAAAAGCTTCATTTTCTTTTAATGTCTAAGTCAATTTTAGCAGCCAGTGAGTCTGCTGCAATACTATGTTGAGTCATACTGTGGCAAGCAACGCTGACCACAGCTGTCATCTGTCGTCATCTCAGTGTAGGTGAGCATGGCGTGTACAACCTAGGCTACAGGAATAAAGTGAATTTCCCCCTCCCTCCTCCCCCCACCTTGCTCTCAAGCTTTATTGATTAGAGTGAGGTAGGAGGAGGCTGGGACTTGCATGTAAGTAAGGGAATTACTTAAGTAAGGCAGACACTCAATCAAGATGAAAATTTGGCAGAGGGAGGAAGAATTGGGGATAAGTCAAGAATAAAGTGTTGAAAGAGGAACTAAAAGAGAACATAAAACAGGTCAAAGCAAAAGTGATCCTGTGCAAAGGAAGCTGAGGGTAGCAGGTAGTAGAAAGCATCATAAAAATACCGCAACATAATGTATATTCCCATTTTTAAAATGTCATAAATTGTCTGGATTCTGGTGTTTGCTTGCTTCTGAATACTTTATTTTGCAGTCTTGGCATTTAGTTAACTTTCTGGCTTCATCCATTTATTTAACTTCTTTGTAGCAATGTATAGAATGCTTTAGGGTGATGTGTGGGAATATTTGGATTTTTTAAATTAGATTATGCTGTAAGTGAAAATGTTGTCCTCATTTGTTCGTATTGTTAGAAGCGTAATGATGACTTTGCTGGATGATGTACCAAAAGCAAACTATCAGCAGCAGGGGAATGGATTTTGGCAGAATTATTATTCAAGTGATCTTAAAATATCATTTATCTAACATTATTGGAGGGGAGGTGCATTCAGTAGGATTAATTGTAAAAATGTCAGACTGAATATTAAAGGAACATTCTCAACTTGAGCAACCTAGTCAGCCTGCTTTTAAGAGTAATGTTGGATCTGGTATCTTGTACTCTACGTGTTTTGAACTCCAGAACGTTATTTTTACTTTCTTCTGTTGCTGCTAGCTAGTATGGACACAGGATGCAAGCTGTAGCAGAATGTACTTTGAAGCTTGGCATAATTGCACCTCGTATACAGTTAGAGTAAATGATTGAGAGGAGCTACAGACTTTTTTTCCTACTCTGGTCTTTGCTGCAGTTCTCTATTTGTTGTAAGCCTTACTGTTCTACTGATTTTTTTAAAGTGCCGCAGCATGCTGTCATATTCTTATTTAATGGTGCAGAAGAAAACATTTTGCAGGTAAGAATGTGCTAGAATGATAAAATGTATACCAAAGCTGTGAATCAAGATTCTGACAAAGGAAGAAGTAACTACAGATGTGACTTGTATTCTAGCTATTGAAATGTTAGTTAAATGCTAGTCTTAACACCCTGGGGAAAATGTGCTTGCTGTTAAAGGAAAATATGTACTTGGATTAAGAATATTGTCTGTATGAATTTAATTAGAAGACTTTGATCTTCTCTCTCCCTCTGTGGTGTAAGTATGATCTTGCTGCCTTGTCAGACCTTGAGGTGTGATCATCCGTGATGGAAAATAATGTTTAGGCTGGTCTGGAAGATATTTGACCTAAATCTTCTTTGTTTCCCGTCAAGGCTAGTCACGGCTTCATAACACAACATGAGTGGGCCAAGTCAATTAGAGCTTTTATTAACCTGGAGGCAGCAGGTGTAGGAGGGAAAGAACTTGTTTTTCAAACAGGTACGAGTATGCATTGTGTCCCATTTTTTGCACCAGGGTAATCTGATAATAAACAATGTAGATTTGAAAGAGTATTGCAAGTGGTTCGTAAAGAGAAGACAAGAGAACTCCTGTGCCTTTTTGTCTGCAGCCGATAAGTTGCTCTACGTTTTTTAGTTACGTGAAGGCTAAAGCATTGCCAAAGAATTAGTTTCACAAGAAAAGAAACCTGTGCAGAATAGAATTACAGAAGTTGTATTACTCTTCCACCTCAAGGTGGTAAGGGGAAAAACAGGTTTGGATATTTTTCATATCTCTTCATAGCCATACTTTCATAGGGTGTACTTTATTTTATTTTGGCAGCAATTCTTTCAAAATCTCTGCAGGGAGATGTTGGCAGTAGAACTCTGTCTGCTGCCCAGAAAGCAACAAAACTCCTCAAATAGGCTCCCGTTAAATTTCAACGCTGTCCTGGCTGGACTGTAGACTTCCTTCTACTGCTGCGGCTGCTTAATTGTTTCCTTGCTTTGAATGCTTTGGTGGAGAGACTTTTCTCTAAATGACAGTTTTGATGTGTGATACATGAGTGGGTGGAAATGGAAAGTCATTAAAGTCTGCATTAGTGCTGGGTCATCTTTGCAAGAGGCTTATCTGTCTTGTCACTGAACGTTCAAGGGGTTAGCCTTTTTCCAGCGTAGCTAATCCTTCCTCTCAAGTCTGTGAGTCCTTTAGCATGGAGTCCTTCACAAATGAACTCAGTGTAGTTTCTGGAGCAACAGTATTAAAAGTCTGTGGTAACAAAAGTGTTGCAGAAAAACTCACTAGAGATACGTATCTTAACTGAAGTTCAGAATATTTTTTTTTCTGAGCTTTTTGCCCTTTTTGTTAGGACCTGAAAATCCTTGGTTGGTACAAGCATATATATTTGCAGCCGAGCATCCCTTTGCCTCTGTGGTGGCACAGGAAATATTTCAGAGTGGTATTATCCCAGCAGATACAGACTTCCGTATCTACAGGGACTTCGGCAACATTCCAGGTGTGTTATTGGAAGACATATCAATGGGTGTTATGTAACTATTTATGCAAGCTTGCAACGAGGAGATTGTGAGATGATTACTGTGAGCACTCCCTCGAATTTGGTTTATCTTTCAGGATAAAATATTCCCATCTTTTTTTCTAAGGCAAGAGCCTTCAACTTTGGTGTGCCATGTAGGTTGTAAGCATGTATTTGGAGCCTGGAGTGTTCCAAATAGAAACTACGTGGTGGAAAACAAACTTCCTAAAAATCAGGGAAACAATTCTAGAAATAACAGTCCACTCTTACGTATCTTGTTTTGAAACATTTTGGTAACAAAACGTGCTGGCGGGGGGCGGTGAGAAGCAAATAACTATCTAATGAGCGAAAGGAGAAAATGAGCGCTGGAAAAGTGTGGAACACAGAATGACATCTGAACAAGCACAATTCAGAGGAATGTAAACTGCTGTAAAATCCTTGCTGTCTGATGGTTGTCAGTAGAGTAGCTTTCAAGAGAAGTGATCTATCTGAAGTGATTCTTAGAACAAAACATGTTAGCACATTTTAAACCGTTTCAAAATACATTTCTAGCCTGAAAAATCAAGTAACTGTTAAAATTTGTTCTTTATATAATCAGAATCATACTTGGTTCATAAATGAATTCTCAGTGACATCTATTTTTGCACATCAACAGGAATAAAATGATTGAGTTTAAAAACTACTTTGTTCCTCTTTGTGCACTGATAGAGTCGAGGTCTACTTTGTTGTCTGTGACAATATACAGTGTGGACAGGAGCTTTTTTGCATGTGCAGCTGAGGGTATGATTTGTTTGAGATATACTGAACGTATAATTTAGCTTGCAGAACCTCAGTTGGTATTTTTTGTTGTTGTTTTTACAAATTATTTGGACTTGCAAAGAGTTCTCAGACAAAGCATTAAAAAAACTTTTTACATTTTAGAAGTAAAAAAAAAAGCACCTGGCATTTTGAGAGGATGTTTTTAAAACTCTACAGTATTGATTTTAAGTACTTTTCAGAGTAGCTCTCTATTGGTATTGTAACAGTAAATGTTTGGAAAGCACCAAGCGTGAAACTGAATATTTAACTTAGACTGCTCTGCCAGTACATATGAAGGCGGACCATCTTGTCGTTTTTTTTCTGAAGCTGAGATGATTGTAAGATTTTTTTCATGCATTGTGCCAGTACAGATCAATTTGTGTAGAGATGTTGTGCAGATTAATGGATTAGGAGGGAGATGTGTTTTTAAACGGTTGAGTATGGTTGAGTATTTGGTTTTTTTTTTTTTTAACAAACTAATTAGCCTTCGTTCTACAAAGCAGGCTGTTTTTGTTCGTCATTGACGAAAGTGGGTGTTTTACAAAGCAGAAGAATTACATTTTGAATGAAATGTATCTCATGTAACTTTCATGTTTCTTTTGAGTCTCTCAGATGTACACAATTTTAATTCTTTTTTTTTTTTCTTTCTGTAGGGATAGACATGGCTTTTATTGAAAACGGTTACATTTATCATACAGAATATGACACATCAGACAGAATTCTAACAGATTCCATTCAGAGAGCTGGTTAGTATTTCAAGAATTCTATTACAAATTTACTGGAGAGAAGGTCTACAGAGCTGTTTCTTTGTTTTTTGATCTGAAACCAGTATCTCAAGAAGTGTATAATTCAAAAAATGACTGGGCATGTTCTAAAGGAAGAGTTAGCTATATATGTGCTTCTGAAATACATAGGGAATCATGTTTGGTCAGCTCAAGAAAATAAGCTTTGTGAGGATCACGTGACATTGACCTATAAGAAACTATGGAGTCTATTCAAGATTATATTCTAGTCATCTTGACTAGTTACCTTCGTTGTTTCCTAACTGTTGTTCAGAGTTCTGTGTTCGTTTTGCCTCTTGGTATGTATACCCTCACTAATTAACCTTCATCATGAGAAGCTTCCAGTTAAGTAGATGGTATAGAGGCTGACCTGCCAAGAGAGAGATTTTTTGAGAATGAGTCTTAGTCAAAATTATACAACATTACAGTAAGTTTATACTGTCTGTATCCTGTGGATAGATAGGATTCATCCTCTTCCAGCAGCCTTTGTTCTTAACAGCTATTTCATGGGTTATAGAAAGAGGAAATTACAGTGAGTTCTTTAGTTTCCCAGAAGTATTTTAAATAAACCTAGGTGCCTCCAGGATTTTGACTCTTTAAACATGCAGAAGTTGCATAGATTATCCATATTCGTCTTATGGCTCTAGAGCTGAAGTTGCAGGAGTGAGAAGCTAATCTTACTACAAGCAAGGATTTTATACATGTTGCAGAAATGCAGTTGTGAGAAAAGGTGACACTTTCTCCGTAACTTCCTATTGGAAAGGTAATTTTTACTGGTCATTGTGGTGCGATAAAACATTTTTTTGCTAACTGTATTACAACTGGAAAGAAAGAAAGAAAGAAAGAAAAACTCTTCACCCAGTAAGAACTTATACAGCTGAAGCAGAAGCAAAATAAAAGTTGAGAACAACAGTTCTCGTTTGATTTTATGTGTTGCAGCTGTATTGTGTGAGAGAAAAGGTAATTTGTACCCACAGACTACAAAGGAAAATAGCTTCCTTGGCTCCTACCTTACAGTCTTCTAAAGAAAGATATGCAATTCGTAGTCAGTGAAATATGGCAAGGTTAGTAGAGACAAGTAGGAGAAGAGGAGGGTTAGCAGAAAATTCTTCTGTTGTTTAGCCTTGAAGTCTGCTACTTTGATATCAGACCTGAAGAAGGGCTTGTGGGCTGAAAGCTTGCCTACTCCCTTTTTTGATACTTCCACAGTAGTATTTCGGTACGTGAAGCTTTCCAAGTATATTTACTTTATGGACACCTGTATAGATCGCTTTATGAAAATACTATGCAGTGTATAGCATCAAATAGTAATTCCGAATGATCAGTTACATATGCACTTCTTTCTTCGTGGAGGAGGATATTTCAATAGTTTTGTTTTTATGTACATGAGCGCTGTGTGCTAATTCTTCATCCCCTGGTATAGTTATGCTGTCTGTCTCCTTTCTTGAATAGGTGATAATATCTTGGCTGTCCTAAAATACCTGGCAACATCAGATAAGTTGGCTAAATCTTTTGAGTATCGACACGGAAGGGTCGTCTTCTTTGATATACTTGGTCTGTTTGTCCTGGCTTATCCTGCTCGTGTTGGCACCATCATGAACTATATGATACTAGCAATTGCTGCTCTTTATTTAAGCAAAAAAGTATTTCAGCCCAAAACCAGAGGTAAGTCTAGTTTAGAGGGGAAAAAAAAAAAGATTTAAAGAGACCATTTCTCATTCTGTTAATTATGATCAATAGTTACAACATTAGCTGTTTAGGTAAACCCCAGAAATGAGCTTTAGTTATGCAGCATGCCATAGGAATTGCTTTTTATTTAAGAGATGAAATCCCTCACCTATGAAAAATTATGATAAAGGAACGGTAAGATAGGCCTAAATGCTTATGTCCCTTATCCTTTCATGAAGATTTAAATTGAATCTTTTAAAGATCTGAAAGTGGAAGAAATTTTAGATTCGCTTAGCATCTGGATTAATGCATTTCTCTAATGCTTTAGAAATATGTGTTTCTTTCAGATCTCTCTACAGACAGGAACAAATAACAAAATAATAAATGGGGAAAAAAGATGGAACTTAATAACGGGCCTGTAACTATTAAAATCTTTCAGTTAGACCTTTTCATTAGAGGCATATGAGCATACCTTTTTAAAAAAATAACAAACTAAATCCAGAAAACGTTGCTGGGATAAACAAAAGTTGCAAGAAAAGCAACTCTGAATTTTTCTCAAAGACTTTGTAAGCCGCAGGATGATTTCACCAGTTCCCTAGAGAAACTTTTATCACGAGGCACGTGGTAACCTGGAAAATGCACTAGTGCTCTGGGGCTTCATCTTGTAGTGTGGAAGACTTGTAAGGGGACAGACTGAGTGGTTTAGGCCCTGCTGTTGCTCAGAAGTCCTCAAAGCAGACTTTTAATACAGTCTTATCATTTTGGTCTTTGAAGTAATTATACTCCAGAGATTAGAATAATCTCGATAATCTGTAGAATATTGGGCTGTTGAATAACTTTTTTTCTCTCTTCTTCGTAGCTATCAGTAACCTGAAGAAATTCTCTACTGCATTTGGCCTAACATTGTTAAGTTGGATCTCTGCACTGGTGACTGTCCTTATTGTGGCAGTGTTCATCTCTCTCATTGGACGATCTCTTTCTTGGTATACCCATTTCTATGTCTCTTTCTCTCTGTATGGCACTGCAGCTATAGCTAAGCTCATCCTTGTGCACACGCTAGCCAAGAAGTTCTTCTACAAGGTAAGCCTGACATTGTTGCTAATGTTGAAGGGGAGTGTACTGGGGAATTTGAGGAAGACTAATTTTTGAGTTGGTTCGGAAGACACATTAAGTTTTGTATATTGACCAGAGGTACTATTTACGATATTTCTGTCAAAATTGTTTCATTTAAGCAAATGTATTAATCTACAGAATTAGAAGTAACATCCCCCCCCCGATCTTATAGCTTCCTCTTTGCTAGCGACCTAGAGTTTTGCAGTTCCCAGAGGCTGCTGAAGAAAAGGCAACAGCTTTGTGGAAGATAGGATAGAATAATATTTTCCTACCTTTCCTGGTATCAGAGATTAAAGAAAGAACTGAGGTGGAGGTTTTTGGTTTTTAGGTATCTTTTGATGTTCTTCCTAATACTTAAAGAATCTACATAATATCCAACTCTTCCTTGAATCTTTTTCATTCTGTCTTCCAGATGTCTTTGTATGACAGGTTCCCACAGTTTAATCATTTGGTGTATATTTTTCTCTTGTTATCCTTCCTTTTTCACTTCATCCGTTGTTGATATTTTGGTATGAAACTGGGAATTCGTGTTCTCTGTTTTACTCTATCCTCGTATTATTCATGTTCCTTTGATGATATCACTTCTAGTCCTCACCTTCTGAGCAAATAATACCACTTTTTTCAGATGTTTTAGATGAGAGCTTTTTCTTACATCTATCAGAATTTCTGCCTCTGCAATACCCTCTTCTAGGTGCCATAGCTGTACTGTACGCAGCTTTCTAGATGAAGCTGTTGCAAAAATTAGAGGAGTTGTTCTCCTTTCTGTAATCATTCTAGTACTTATTGGTTTTCACCACAACTAGACACAGACCAAGCTCTTTGCAGCATCCTTTTCTGCAGTAGATAAAGGTCATTAGACCCCTGCAAAGTTTAGGCAAAGGTTTGATGTGCCTTACCTTTGCATTGCTGTCATTTTGTGTCATGATACTGCCTCCTTTGTTTAGAATTCTGCTGTATGGGCTAACAGAAACAATTTTTTTACTTGCATAGTAATGTCATAATTCATAAGCATAGTTAATAATCCAAAATGTCTAGATGGTAAGTCAGTTGCATGGTTTTGTATTGCTGTGAAGCCTTGAGCTATCCAACAGATAGCATTTTTATAGGCCAGAAACTGACTTCTTTGATCCTGCTTTAGGTTTCCAGTATTAAGCATGTCGATATCATTCAGTTCTTATTTACTTTTCTTAGCCGTTGGTACAAGCTTTGGACAAGGGAATTTAGGAAACTGAATTTGTCATCCAAGTCCAACTTTTTCCAAACACTTGAAGTTTAAGAACTTACTGGGATCTTATTTTCTGGAAACTTATTGAGTGGATCCCTCATATCCTCATCTGGAAATAGTTTTTGTTTTTTATTTTTGTTTGAGGATTTTTTTTTAATGAATTGGCACATGTATGTGTGAAATACTGTTGTCCCCTTATGGAGATCATGTTAAAGTTATTTTCAGCATAGATATTCCACTGCCGTTTTCCACTCCGTCTTCTGGAGTAGTGGCTGTTACTAGCAAGAGAGCATATTTTGGTTAACTGTCCAGCTATTTCAGGTTTTGGATCTTAGTCTTATCTGCTGTTTGTCTGATCAGCAGATCAGCCAACGAGGTATCACTTTTCTCTCACGATTTTCTTTGCATGTTACAGCTTGCAGTGTAACGTGTGGTTTATGCTGCCTTCGGCATCTTTCGCTGTTTGAGTTGCATAGAAACTGTGGAAGCTGATCTCTTACCTGGCTATCGTAGGTAGTGTCTAGGTGTTGATGAAACAGTGTGTTTTATGTTAGTGGCTCAGTAATGTTAGAATTAATTAGGTTTTTATTTTGAAGTAGGTTTGGCAACTCTCCCCTCCCTCATCAAACACAATGCTTTCTGATAGCCATTGTTCATGGAAGCGGTCCCTCTTGGGTAGAACTGCTAGTGTAATTCACAATTAACAGTGTTGCCCTGCAAACCCTTTGACACTGCCTCTGTAACTAGAAAACATTTTTAATGGTTTAAGTCTTTGTTTTTTTTTTTTTTTTAATGTACCTGTCTTTTATGGCCTTGGTATGAGCTGACCCATGCATGTCCTCTTCAAAACAAATAATATATTAAAAAAGCAAGTCTCCCAAATGAGCCACTGTTATGTGAAACAAAAAGGTGTACCACCATATTATTTGTGCACTAATACAGGTGCATGCGTAAGAGTATGCATTAACGGGTGCTACTCAAAAACAGTTTAAAATCTTAGGAGCTCTGGATAATTTTTTCCAAATATTTTATATATACACGCATGTAGCTATGTGCCTTATTTGCACGTTTATCTGTATCTGAAACATCTATTTGCACATGTATAATGCATATTCTGTCATCTTGGTGTTGTCACTTGTATTCCACCCTTGCTCCCTCCACCCCAGCCCAAGTAATATGTTTTTCCATCTGCATGAAAGCAGATGTAAAAAAGCATACTGTCATGGATAGCTCTGTAAATGGTAAGAGAATGCTGAGGTGGTGCTTATTAAAATGTACATTGTCCAAGTAAAACAACTGTATGCAAGAAATGAGGATTCATTCTGTGTGTTCTTAGGAGATGTGGTACACAATATGTCTTCTCAGTGACTTTTTTTGGTTTTGTTTTGTTACAGAATATGAATGAGCAGTACCTGGGAGATGTGTTTTTTGATGCCTCATTGATGATCTGGTCTATCGCGTTGGCTGTACTTACTCAGATAGGTCTATGTTCAGCATTCATTTGTACATTATGGGTAGCGTTTCCTTTAATCACGAAGCTGATGATCCATAAAGAGTTCAGACAAAGAGGTAAAAACCTGGGATGTTTGCATGTATTTCAAAACCTTTATTACTGTGTATTGGGATGTTTCTGTCCCCAGCTGTTGTTCAAACAAGCAAAAAAAATCCTGAACTTCAGTTTTGAGTAGTCAAAATACACAAGTCGTATTTCTGTTGCAAGTAAAAGTGTTCTTGAACCCAAGTCAGTTTATGACTGTAGAAAAGCTGTTCAGACAGTCTGAAACACATTCTGTTTCTCGGGCTAAAAAGAATGATGCTATATGGGATTATAATAACCGATCACGTACTAGGAAGACAATAAAGACAGTAAAGCTTGTTATAGTTAAACAGTGGTTGAGGTGGAAGACCTCTTAGAATTTTTTCTTGTTGTTGCTGCTGCTGGAATAGTTTCCTGACGTTTTTGAAAATGTGATACTGGCACTTGCTATGTAAAATGAGAACTGCTTTTTCATCAGTGTTGGGTGTGTGGACCAGTGTTGCATTTGGACCTTGAGGCACTATATGTATATGCATATGTAGTAAAGCTGTGTGTTTTATGCCCTATTAACTCTTACATAGTTTTGTCTTTTGTTTGTTTTTCTGTCCCATACAGGTGTCACAATGAGGTTTGTCATGATGTACATGCTAGGAATGTTTGTTCCCTATCTGTATGTGATGTACCTTAGTTGGACTGTATTTGAAATGTTTACTCCTATCATGGGACGAAGTGGTTCAGAAATTCCACCAGATGTAGCGTTAGCAGGATTAATTGTGGCCATCACTATGATTCTGTCATCCTATTTTGTAAGGAGAATTTTTAAACATTGTTTAAAACTTCATAACTTTCTCTAGAGTTTAAAATCAATGTTTTTCTAAATTAATATTAGAAATTAACGATATTTTTTAAAAAATGTTACTCTAGGGAACTTCTAGGAAGCATGCCAAGCCTTGCAGGATTCTGTGTATTATGTTAGTTCAAAAACTCATTGAAGTCGTGGTTAGAAAAATAAATCTGCTCTATAGTGAATGTAGCAAAGACTGGTGTGAAATATGCAATTTAACGGTGGAGTTTAAACAGGCCTTCATTTTAGGAGAAGTATAGCATGTGGCTGAACTTTTTGAAAAAAAAATTCTTCAAAATATTTGTATATGCTCTTTTTGGGCGGCGTTTGCAAATCGATGGTTTGCAAACCAAAACAAATCGATGTTTTGGTTGGTAGATGGTTTTAAAAATTGAAAATTTTATGAAATCTTAGGGAAGTACTCTCTTCCTTTAGTTTTAGATTCTGTGGTTTATGAAGAATCTAGTCTTAGGTGGTATTTGTGATGATGACATCTTAATATACTTTTAATTCCATAATTAGATTTTAGCAGTACACAAATAGCGTCCCTTGATTCCAAGGCATGAAGTTTTATAACTGAGCTGGTTTTATTTTTTGTTTTTTTCTCTAGATTAACTTCATTTACCTTGTCAAAAGCACAAAAACAACCCTAATAACTCTAACTGCTGTGTTTGTCATCACTCTGCTTCTCGTTTGTAGTGGAATCTTCTTTCCTTACAGTTCTGATTCAGCTAATCCAAAGCCTAAGCGAGTTTTTCTCCAGGTAAGAAAAGTCCTGCATATTACGTTGCCCCTGTTTTATCTGCAGTAGCTATCGCTTTTATAAAGCTTAAGAAAGAATTAAACTGCCACCTTTCCCTTGCTCTGAGAGGGAGAAATTCCCTTGCTCTGAGAGGGAGAAAATACTAGCTTGGTTTAAAAACCTGTAGATTTCTGGATTTGAAAGAATTACTAATATTGCCCATGCTTCATTTCTGTGTTCAGTTCACTTGTGCCAGAAAAACTTGATGTGGGAGGGTATGTAAGGTTAAGGCTTAGTAGGAGAGTTTAGTAAGCAATGATCACTTAAAAAGTGGACGCGATGGGAGATGGTGTAAATATTTACGTGGACAGTTGTCTTCTGAATTTAGATGTTTTCATGCAGCGCTTCTGTCCAGGTAATTCTCTATTCATGTTCATAAATATTCAGTGCCTACAGTGTTCAGTGCGTACTGAACATGCAGAAAACCTTCAGAATTGACATGGAAGACGGATCAGAATCACTTCTGCAGATTACCTAGACTCTTAACGTCTTTTTATTTTTCTTTTTTCCTTTTAATTCTAGCACACGAGCAGAAGATTTCATGATCTAGATGGAAACTTGGTTAAGAGTGACTCTGGTATATGGATTAATGGATTTGATTATAATGGCATATCTCACATAACTCCCCATGTACCTGAAATCAATGACACCATTAGGACTCAGTGTGAGGAGCGGGCTCCTTTTTGTGGCTTTCCTTGGATTCTGCCAGTGCATTTTATGTTCCGGTTCGTGTGAATGCTGCTTAACTTGAGAAATTACTGGCCAAAGCAAACTGAATATTTATGCGATTTTGCTTAAGTAAGGGAAGAAAAAGTGAGGCTCACCTTGGTGAAAAGTAAATAACTCTTCTACTCTGGAAGACACTTCTGCTTCTGTTTAGGTACAGTGTCTTTTGCAAGAATCTCTGCAAGAGACTGCTGGTTCTGCTGCACAGTGTTATGTGAAAACTGATGTTGGCAGCAGTGAACCTCAGCTCCGTCCATAGTCGGTGGAGAGAAGGGTGAAAGGAGATCTTCCAAAAGGCAGTTCAAAGCAAAAGT